GAGTGTGCACACTTATGCAACCAGGGTGTTGTAGGTTTTTTCATTTCAATTATTTTTCCTAATAATGATCTGTTTGTTTCTCTTGAATTGTGTTGGTTGCAAGGTCACATTAAAGATGGAAAAATACAATTTATCTTGATTTCTGGCTTAACATTAGAAAAACCTGCAATTTCAATAAGGGTGTGTACTTTTTATACCCACTGTATGCGTGTACACAAGGCATTCAGAAAACACATTTCTTTATATGCAGAATATGTACTGCTTTGTAAATGCAGTTATTTGTAAGTGTGAAAAGGCCACAGACAGAACGAACAATGACTTGTTTTTAAAATCAAGGACATACTGGACTAAATTCCAAGACACAAAACTGATGGCAAGATTAAATTATTACAATTGATAGGATAAAGCGAATGAGGACAAGTGAAAACCAGAAGTCTGCGAACTCCCAACAGCAATAAATAGCATTCAAAGAAACCAACATATTCAATGTAAGACTTCTACCCGTTAAGGAAAGGGAATATACAGTGCAGTCTGTAAGTATTTGGACAGTGACAATTTTTGTTGTTTTGGCTGTGTTCTCCAGTACATTGGATTTGACATGAAACAATGACTGAGATTAAATTGCAGAACGTCAGCTTTAATTCGAGGGTATTTACGTCTGTATTGGGTGAACCCTATAGGAATCACAGCCCTTTTTATACATAGTCCTCCCATTTTAGGGGACCAAAAGTAATTGGACAATTGGCTGCTCAGTTGTTTCCTGGCCAGCTGTGTGTTGTTGCATCAATTGTTCATGCACAAGGAACAAAGGGTCTAGAGTTGATTCTAGATTGTGGTATTTGCATCTGGAGTCTACTGCTGATGTCTCAACATGAGGACCAAAGAAGTGTTAATGGCATTAAAGCAGGTCATCATGAGGCTGACAGAATAAACCAATCAGAGACATAACCAAAATATTAGGTGTGTCAAAATCAACTGTTTGGTACATAAAGAAGCAAGAATTCACTGGTGAGTCTGCTAGACCACAGAAAACCACAGTAGAGGATGACCGAAGAATACTTTCTATCATGAAGAGAAAGCCCTTTTTGACTGTTGTACAGATCAGGAACACTCTCCAGGATGTAGGCATAGATGTGTCAAAGACTACCATAAAGAAGAATATTCTAGAAAAATCTCAGAGGGTTCACCACAAGATGCAAACCACTTGTATGAAAGGCCACAGAAAGGCCAGGTTACAGTTTGCTAAAAAGTACATAAAAAAAGCCTCTAGGGTTCGGTGACAAAGCCTTATGGACAGATCAGACGAAGATTAACCTGTACCAGAGTGATGGAAAGAGAAGTATGGAGAAAAAAATGGAACTGCTCATAATCCAAAGCATACCTCCTCATCGGTGAAACATGGTAGAGGTAGTGTCATGGTTGGGCATCTATGGCTGCCAGTGGAACAGGCTCACTTGTCTTTATTGATGATGTGACTGCCGATGGCAGCAGCAGGATGAGTTCTGAAGTGTACAGAAGCATCTTCTCTGCTCAGATCCAACCAAATGCTTCAAAACTCATTGGGCGGCACTTCACCTTGCAGCAGGACAATGACCCCAAACATACTGATAAAGCAACTATGGAGTTTTTCAGGGCCAAAAAGTGGAATGTTCTTGACTGGCCCAGTCAATCACCCGACCTGAATCCCACTGAGCATGCATTTCACTTAAAAAAAAAAAACTGAAAGCAAACAGCCCCCTAAACAAGCAGGAAAAGAAAATAGCTGAATTACAGGCCTAGCATCACCAGTGCTGTTTGTCGTTGGGAAGACACCCAACATCTGGCGATATCTATGGGTCGCAGACTTCAGGCAGTTATCAATTGCAAAGCATTTGCAAAAATGCCAAATGTTGCTTAAGATAATGGTAATGTGTCGTTCCTTTTGGTCCCATGAAATGGGGGACTATGTTTAGAAAGGGCTGCGATTCCTATATGGTTCACCCAATATAGATGTGGATACCCTCAAATTAAAGCCGACAATCTGCACTTTAAACTCATAGTCACGGTTTTATTTCAAATCCAATGTGCTGGAGTACACAGCCAAAATAGCCAAAATTGTGCCACTGTCCAAATACTTAAGGACAGTACTGTAAATTTAGACCATGAAGACAAACAAACAGCACTGAGCTCTCCTCTAGCCAATGTGTGTCTGACAACTCCATGAGCAGAAATAGTAATATTTAGTAAATGTTAAACAGCATCTGTAAAAGGATTTCACAAAGAACAGCATTTAAAATGACTACACACATTATCCCTCTATATCCCTGCTTCATTCCAGGGGAGTTCCAATAACCCGACTATCTTCCCTTAATCAGGTGAGTTCAACGAAATTCATATTACTTTTGTTATTCCATCTTAATTAAGGGTTGACTGAACAACTGAATTTGGCTTTCATCCACATGTTAGACAATACTTGGATTCATGCTTAGAGCCATCCATTTTCTAACAGCTCTTCTTGTAATTCAGTGTACCAGAGGATCCTGGAGTCTATCCCTACAAGGCAGGGTACACCCTGGACATGCTGCCAGGCCATCGCAGGGCAGAAACGCGGCCGCACAGACTCTCACACTACAGTCAAATTTCCCAGAAGCCAGTTCATCTACCAGTATGTTTTTGGCATGTGGGAGGAAACCAGAGCACCCGAAGAGAGGGTGAATATATAAACTCCACAAGCATAGCACCCCAGGTCCAGAATGTAACCCAGGGTCCCAGTGCTGCAAAGCAGCAATGCTAACCACTGCACCACCGGTACGCCCCAGTAACAAATAGATATATACAACCAAATTTTAATATGGGTTGAATCAGGCTTCCTGTCGGCTTAGCAGCCATTTTTGGCAACTGCACCTATTGCTTTTAGATGGTAATATGGGCAAGAACAGCACCTAGAAACAGCTTTTTCTAATGCTTTAGAATGACGTTTCAGGATATATACGGTAAAACACATTCAATACCCATCTGCTCCGGACAGAGTCAATTAAGCTAAGATTAAAACGTAAAATACGAATTTACGTTTCGTACCATTCCATTTTGATATGTTTTTGAGGTTTTAGCATCATAAACTACCATTCTTCTGGCGGTATTCTAAGCCCATAATTTCTTGGACTTCTGCCCTAATTCTGATTTCATGATTTCAAGACTGCTCTGAGTTTTGTTTTTTGCCAAATTTATTTAATTGTTTTTCGTTTTTTACCCGCCGGGATAAAATATATTTTTCCTGCCACTCAACTCCAAACCCAAACCATGTGGGGCGGAGGGCGGGTGAGACAGGACACATGACGGTCAGGTAGGGGAAACCAGTTAAATGTAAGATATCTGCTGTACCTGCTACGTTGACAACCAGCACAGTCAGGATCAGAACCAGCCCGTTCTGCAGGACAGCCGCGTCGCAGAAACAACCCCAGCCAGACATACTGTTTCTCTGGATATCTTCACAAAACAAAGACGGGAAAAAATATGGGCGTCACAGCCTCCTCTTCTCTTCCCCTTCTCAAGTCCTTGTAAAAACAAGACAAACGCAACTTATATGTGTATATTCGCTTTGTTCCCTGATCCCAATGAAATAATAAAAAACTTAATGTATGTCCTGGATCTCAGTTACGCCCTTTGGCTGTTTAATAAATCGATTTTATCTTTTTATGCATTTCCTGGGTTATAACCAACTTAGTGTTCAATCAAGACTGCCATACCTTCTTCGCAATCTAAAAACGAAAGACTAAAAATACCTCGTAATGCACTGCGTAATGTTTCAAGCTGCACCTATAACGCCCTTCCGACGTTCAATGTCTTCTTCCGGGGGCTGGTGGAAAATTTCTTAAAGGCACACTACCAAAGAAGAAAAACATCTATAATATAATCGGAATAATAACAGTCCTTCCATTTTCTTACCGCTTTTTCCCCAATACAGGGTCGCAGAGAAACCGAAGCCAGAACAATCAGAATGATGTTCTAGTGATTAAGGATAGTTTTGTTTTAAACAGCGCCTTTCGTGCGAAGATGTCTTAAAGCGCCTTGCAGTAGAGGTACAGTAACAGGTCAACCTTAAATGTGGTCAGAAAGAGTATTCCGAAACATATGAAACAAACCAGGACGAAGGAAACGATTCTGTATTAAAGAGAACAAAGAAACCGAGTTTTGTCAAATGAATGTCAGTTAACCAGTGCTGCTGCTCAAACTCGTAATTCTCCGTGACGCCACTTCCTACAAAACTGTAACAGTCTTTCTCACAGTTTTTTTTCGGCATCCACCCTGCACCACATCTTTATCTTTGCAGGTGCTGCCTCTTGATTAATTTTTTTGTCTGTGTGGGGGTCCTGATTTCCTCGTCCTATGGTCAGGCGGTTGGCCCGGAGCCAAGCGGGTTAAGGCAAAGCCTCTTATGCCAAACTCCTCCTTGATGCATCCTCTTATTGGCATCTCGGGTGGGGTTTTGCGCAGATCAGGCGCATTTCTGTAAAACTCCTCTCTGTCGCTCCGTGTGTGTTTCCTTGCCAACGAGGACAAGTATGGGCCAAGGGGGAGTTCGTTTGAAATGCTTAGAAAACCGCTTTCCAATTTACGTTATCATTCACAGCTACACTGCGGCTGTTTATCGTTGACTGTCAAACTCATTACGCGCCCGACTTCAGCTTTATCATTATATTAAGAGAACGATTTTTCCAGGTGCACAAAAACATTGAAAATATTTTTGAAAAAGGGAACCTCGATTGATGTTTTAGGTGTTGAAATTAGCTTTCGCGGCACGTTTATATATAGCAAAAATAATTTCAAGGGAAAATATGAGATCTCTCCCAGTATACGTAGAAAACACCTGAAGAACGCTTCACAGCCGATACGACACGTCTCTTTTGAGCATGGAATAAACCTTTACGTGTTCCTACGTAAAAAAAAAGTATTCTAGATTATCTTGTCTTTTACTGGGTTGATATTTATTTTCTAATAGTCTCTTTATATTGGGGGTGTAACGTTTTGGCAGCAAGGTGAGGAAACATGACAGGAATCCTGGCCACCGTCGTCAGAAAAAAAATCTTGAAACATGAAAAAGCCACTCCTGCTATTTATTTGATTCTTCCGGATTATGACATTTTAAGGAAAGAAGTGACTCAAGCAGGAAATTACGCCTTTGGTACGTGGGGTGAATGGGGAGATGTAGACCCGATTAAGTAAGAATTGGTAAGTGCTGGCATGGAATGTCTCTAAGGAACAACAGATTGCAGCTACAAGTGGCGTAATGTTCGTAATGGGTGCAATAGAGTGTTTATCAAAGAAAAGGGAACTTGAGAAAATCAAGAAAAAAATCTTGTATCTTATTGTTTTGAAATATACTGTACTTTATTCACTGGTTATTGCTAAATGAATGATTTAATATTCCTTGGGTGGAGCGGTAGCTCTGTGGCTAAGGATCTGTGCCTGTGGCTGGAAGGTTGCTGGTTCAAATTCTGTGGCCGACAGAGGAATCCTACTCCATTAGACCCCTGAGCAAGACCCTTAACCCCAACTGCTCCAGGGGCGCTGTACAATAGCTGACCCTGCACTCTGACCCCAAGCTTCTCTCTCTGTCTGTGTCTAATGGAGAGCAAGCTGGGGTATGTGAAAAGACAAATTCCAAATGCAAGATATTGTATATATAATAAAGTGATGTTATCTTATCTATTAGTAAACTGCAGTGTTACCACTTCATAGCTCGATCTGGTTGGAAAGAAAAGCTAAGCAAGACTGGACCTGGTCATTACTATGAAAGGTGCCTTCTATGGAGGCTCTCAATTATACCTTAATTGGTCCAATTTAACATTCCCTACACATTTTAAGATCCTGATATTTCAACTTGATCTAGAAAATCTTGGTAACTATCCTTGAGGAACAGATTAAGAGATCTCTGATTTAGTGGCTGGTAAATAAGCAGTTTAATGGCTGATGTTTGACTGACCAAATTGTTTGGATTTGATTACAATATGTGCTCTTCGAGTACTCTATTGGGTTTAACTCTGTGACCTATTTCCTTTTTACTATTGTTACCCCAAGTGTCTAGGGGAAAAGGGGTGTAACATTTAGGATAATTCTTTTGGAAGCAGGTGGGTTTTGGTGAGGGACTAGGAAGCGTGGTAACAAGGGTAAGGAACTAGAGTGGTGCCAAAGGAAAGAAAATAACAAACAAAAGGGAGCTGGCTAGGACAGTGAGGGAAAGCTAATCTGACTACAAAAGAAAACCCGAAACACACGGTCTTCAGCCTTCAACACCCTAGCTAACCTGCACTGACTACCCAAAACCATACAAGACAAATGGCACTCACCCGTACTAACCTAGTGTACCAATACAAAAGCAATTAAGTGTGTAAGTGTACCCAACAACCTAAACTAACCTTATATACAAAAGTAAACAAGAACACAAGTGAACCAGGGATACAAATAAGGGAAAACAAGAGTTATCAACAGGAGCAGGGTACAAAAGAACACAAAAGTTGAACATGTAACACTGGGGCAAGGTAATGGCAAACCAAGGATGAACACACAAACAGAAGCAAGAACCAAACAGGACAAAAGTCAAATGAAAGGCCTCCTCTTCCTTAAAGCCTCCATGTTAAATAGTGAATAAGATGTGTTCTGATTGGCTGAAGGCTGATTGGTGATGACATCATACGGAAAGTGTGGTGTAATGGTAGGCCAATGTGGAAGGGAGAACAATCAAGGGTCAGCAGTGTGGACATAACAGAAAAAACACACACAGAACACACACTGGGACATAACACTATTCCATGGGTGAAATATCAGATAGGCCTTGCCCTACAATCAATAAATAAGTTGTTTCTCCAAACTGAGCCTAAACTAGGAGAAAAAAAATCCCCCTTTTTCTTTTTATTTGCTTTTTCTTATTAGAACTAATGGGAAATACAAGTTCCCTGAACAGGTTTTGAAGATGACTGTGGGATCCTTTCAAAACTGGCTTAGTGAGATTCTTGACGCATGATGCTGCTAGAAATCAAATAAATAAAAAGAATGAAATGGCTTCCTCTCATTTTTTACTTTACCTGTCATTTTCATATAATAAATAGGTTCTGCTTGTTATTTTAGTTGTATAACGTGGTGGAATCTGGTATTGTATTACAACATACAGTACGGAGTGACCTGGCTTCTTAGAAATGGTTAGATGACAAGCACAATTCGAACGTTCACTTATTAAAGCAAATGCACCTCCGAGACAAGCCTATCCAAACAAAGTCCTTCATTTTGTCTGAATTGCAAGAGTACAGACCTGTTTGGTGATCAAAATTTAGATTTGATTACAGTACGTGATCCTTGTATGAGGTGTAGTTGTGTGACCAATTTCTTTTTAACCTTTTCATGGGTGAAATATTGGATAAGCCTTGGTGCACAGTCAGGAAATACATCGTTTATTCAAACTGAGCCTAAAACTAGAAGAAACAAAATCCTCCATTTTCTTTTTATTAATTTATTTCCTAATAGGAAATACAAGTTTCCAACCAAGTTTTTGTAGCTGACTGTGGGATCCTTTCAAAATTGGCTTGGTCAGATTTTACACGTACAGAAATCAGATAAAATGAGCCAAACAGCTTCTTCTCATTTTTACTTAACCTGACTTTTGTGCATAATACAATTCATTCTACTGCCAGATCTCTTAATTGTTTGTACAGATTAAAGTCCTTTAAGGTAATAAGAAACATTCAACATTAGACATGAATAGTTCAGGTGGGTAGCTGCGTCAGCATGCGTAGGCTGCAAAGGAACAAGTAATAGGTTTATTCCATGCTGAAAAAAAGAAGAAAGAGAACACAACGTTTCGGCCGTGGAGCCTTCTTCAGGTGTGAGGTGTGAGGAGACCTTCTTCGGGTCTTCAGTTCACACCTGAAGAAGGCTCCACGGCCGAAACGTTGTGTTCTCTTTCTTCTTTTTTTCAGCATGGAATAAACCTATTACTTGTTCCTTTGCATTAGACATGAATTACATGTTCCCGGTGTTCTTTCATCTAATAACAACAGCAACAACAATATCATCATCATCATTATTATTATTATTATTATTATTATTATTATTATTATTATTTTAAACACATTTCTAAAATCATATAATTTTAAACACATTTCTAAAGTGTTCTTTCATCTAATAACAACAGCAACAACAATATCATCATCATCATTATTATTATCATCATCATCATCATCATCATCATCATCATCATCATCATCATCATTATTATTATTATTATTATTATTATTATTATTATTATTTTAAACACATTTCTAAAATCATATAATTTTAAACACATTTCTAAAGTTTACGGCTCCATTTCCTTCACAGTGTTTAGTGTACAATTGTTTTCTTATAAAATATATTTTATAAAAGTCAATTCCTATTCTTTATTAAAATTTAAAAGGTGCAAGAAAGAAAGAATTGGACCAGCGCTTTGTGGTGCACAGATACAAAGTGTGTAGTCATTATGTGGTGACATTTCAGGATCATCTAGCTGCACATATATCCTGAGATGGATATGGCCTAGAAACACCAGCAGCCTCCATATGCATGAGACCAGGAGTGCTGCCCTCCTACCAGACCTCTGTCTCACATGTTGCACATCCGCTTAGGGCTGCACTCGCCAGCTGCTCCACCTGGTGTGAGTCCCAGTGACACCTTCTTGTCTGGACCTCATAGCTCTCAGCTTGTTGGCGAGAAAGACAAATAATTCTGATTTAATGGAAGCAATCGGGCAGGCGGTGTGGTGACAAGGTGGTAATCATTGCTACTTCGTTGATCTTGGCTCCTGGGTTCGACTCCAGGCTACAGGTACGTTTCATGGGGAGATTACATGTTCACCTCTTGATTGCATGGGTTCTCGAAGAGAGCTCTAGTTTGCTCTCGCCTTTCAAAGACATGCTGGGGAGGTTAATTAACTTCTTTAAATTGTGCATCTGAGCGTGTGTGCTTTGTAATGGACTGATGTCCTGTCTAGAGTGTGTTCCTGTCCTGTGCCCTATGCTTCTAGGATGTGCTCCAGATTGCCACATGTCTGTCCATTTCCTCTGACAGGAATCTACTATCATATAAATATTCTAGGGTGTAGGGCAAATCTTTTCAACAAACTGGTTTGCATGGTTTTACTTTTCTGTGTGTATAAATATTCACGTTGTGTCCTGTCTTCACAGATGCTGCACATTTAGTCAGAGCCGCTGGCTCCCACTTCTCTATCTGAGGTCCCTTTTTTACTCAAGTTTGTCAGGCGCGCATTCAATTAGCTGCTTACCAGCATGTGCCCTCATGTAGTAAAGCAGATATGCTGGAGTATCTGCCTCTTTTTTGAGTTGGTTTGTTTGTGGTTACAGCTGTGGGCAAGAGAAGAGAAGTCCACAAGAGAGAAGTAGAAAAGACAGTTTAC